AGAGTGCTGTGGTGTCACAGCTCACAGCAACCTCAAACTCTTGGGCTTAAGTGATTCTCTTGCCTCAGCCTCCAGAGTAGCTGGGACTACAGGTGCCCACCATAACACTTGGCTATTTTTGTTGTTGTCATTGTTGTCATTGTTGTTTAGCAGGCCCGGGCAGGGTTTGAACCTGCCTGCCTTGGCATATGTGGCATCCTAACCACTTAGCTACAGGCGCCGAGCCAACCTGAATCTTCATTTTGACTAAGTTTGGCCCCAGGGACAGCTCAGAGTGGGAACAGTTGGTCCTTGCCAAGCTTCTACAATCTTTTCCAGACTAGCCAAGGATCTCAGCTACCAAAACCTGCTCTGATGACCAGATATTTTATTTTTTTCCTTTTTTCCTGCCTACATGTACAAAGTGAAGGAACTGATGCCTAATTATTGTATAACTACATAACTTGCAGTGCAGAATAGGGAAGCTGAATCTCTATTTTGAATTAGATTCTGACCTCCTTTATAGCTATTTCAGGCTCTAGCCAGTAGGTGGCAGCCTCCCTGGTCTGGTCAAATCAGGCATTGCCCCCATCCTTACCCTCTCACTGCCACAGGGACCACAAAGTGACTTTCATCTGGCACTTCTTTGAACTAACCTGCGGTCTCAAGGCCACATGTGGCCATCCAAATCCCCAAGTGTGGCCCCTCAACCGAATCCAAACTTCACTTCCTTTATTAAAAGGATTTGTTCCGTAAAATTTGGATTCAGTCAAAAGGCCACAGAGTTCTCATCCCCAGTAGGTAAACTCTGGGCAATAGTTGCTAACAGGCCTCTGACACTCCACCCCCACCTTCCTAACCCTCCTTCACATACAAGCCACAGAGAGAGATGACCTGGGATCATGAAGGCTGTGCTTTCCGTATGGTCCCCACCGTTTATGAATATCTCTGAGGGCATGGGAGACAGGACATACTTTCCTTTGACCAGAATGTCAGAAAGGATTAGAAGATCTATTTTTTCTTTTTCTTTCTTTCTTTTTTTTTTTTTTTTGTTGATTATGATGCCACTGGCAGTTAATGTTTTAAGAAGCAATTTTTTAGGC